TGGCGCGATCTCGGCTCACCACAACCTCCGCCTCCTGGGTTCAGGCAATTCTCCTGCCTCAACCTCCTGAGTAGCTGGGATTACAGGCACCCACCACAATGCCCAGCTAATGTTTTGTATTTTTAGTAGAGACGGGGTTTCACCAACGTTGACCAGGATGGTCTCCATCTCTTGACCTTGTGATCCACCCGCCTCGGCCTCCCAAAGTGCTGGGATTACAGGCTTGAGCCACCACGTGTGGTGTGACTTGACTTTGAACCACACACTGAGAAACCCTTCAGTGGGGGTCATGGACAGAGGAGGAGTGCTTTGATTACCAGCCATCTCCCAGCCTCTTCCTATTGGACACCAAGACGCTGACCACTCGAGGAGGTACCTAGGGAACTCAGGAGAGCAGCACTTCTCTCACACACTGGGGGTCCTGCCAGCCAGGGATTAGAGATGAGGAGTGAGGCAGTGCCATGGCATCAGTTTTTCATTGCTTGAGCTGTAGTGGACAAGGGCAGATAATGGAAATCCAGCGAAGAATTGACTAAGAACAGTTTCCCAATAGGTAAATCACTGCTGTATTGACTTTGAGTTATGAGTTCTAGAATCTCTCACTGTTCTGCCTTGCAAGTGGTGGCATAAACATCAGGTGGTGTTCAGATCCTGCTGCCTGGCCGCCTGAGGCTAGGACAGCTGGAGACGTGAGGGCCTTTGTCTCATCACATCCAAGCAGAGCTCAGCAAGATACTCCTAGCTAGGAAACAGATTTTAGGTGTTAATGTAAGTGTTTAGGGTCTTTGGCAGATTTGTTTTTTTTCCCCAGTTCCTTTATGTCCGTTACACACTGAATCGCTGTATCACTAGTGGACACACACTTAATGAGCTCACTTTGGGGTTTTTTTCTTTTTTTTTTTTTTTTTGGTTTTTTAAAATAGTCTTTTTTTTTTTTTTGTGCAAAAATTTGGGTTGCTTTTATTAATTTTTAATGCAAATATTATAGTGTAGTTATTAAAAGCTCAAATCTAGGTGAGGCGTGGTGGTTCACCCTATAATCCCAGCAGTTTGGGAGAAGAGTGTGGGCAGATCACTTGAGCCCAGGAATTTGAGACCAGCCTGGACAATATGGTGAAATCCTTTCTCTATTAAAAGTACAAAAAATTAGCCAGGTGTGGTGGCGTGTGCCTGTAGTCCTAACTACTTGGGAGGCTGAGGTAGGAGAATCACCTGAGCCTGGGAACTCAAGGCTGCAGTGAGCCATGATTACACCATTGAACTCCAGCCTGGGCAACAGGACTGAGACCCTGTCTGTGCAAACCTGAAATGCATTAAAAGACTATTAGGTTTTATTTTCTACTTAGTATATGGTTAAAACATGACTTCCTAATTCTGGAAGCCCTTTTTGGGGAAGCTCAACAGGAATTTTTGAAATGTAAGGTTTTAGTATAAAGAACAATATAACTATTTAAAAATTTCCCTGTGCAGAAATGGCAGACAATGAGGAATCTTCCTTATCTTGTTATGAGTCCTGTCTGGATATCCCAGCGGTTTTAAAGTGAGTAAAAGTTGCAAATGTTCAGGCGGGACTTGATAGGATTTCTCCTAGATGTGTTGTATTGATTTGCTGCTTCTGCAGGGCCCACTTGACCTCATGCTGGATTAGAGTTGAGCTGTAAACTTCAGGAAGAAAATTAGACTGGAAACAGAGCTATGCTTAATGATTTCACAGGTGCCTAGGGTTTGCTAATAAGTGTGGGGCAATTCATTTGATAAAGTGATAATAAAAAATAAAGTTTTCGGCTGGGCACTGTGTCACATGCCTGTGTTTCCAGCACTCTGGGAGGCCGAGGTGGGTGGTTCCCTTGAGCCCAGGAGTTTGAGACCAGCCCAGGCCACATGGTGAAACCCTGTCTGTACAAAAAATGCAAACTTTAGCTGGGCATGGTGGCAGGTGCCTGGGGTCCCAGTTACTCGGTAGGCCACGGCAGGAGGATGTGAGTCCTGGAGTTGAAGGCTGTGATGAGCTCTGATTGCACCACTGCATGCCAGCCTGGGCAACAGAGTGAGACGCTGTCTCAAAAAATAAATAAATAATAAATAAATAAATAAATAAGATCGGCCAGGCACGGTGGCTGACGTCTGTAATCCCAGCACTTTGGGAGGCCGAGGCGGGTGGATCATGATGTCAAGAGCTTGAGACCAGCCTGGCCAACATAGTGAAACACTGTTGCTACAAAAATTAGCTCGCGTGGTGGCACACACCTGTAATCCCAGCTTCTCAGGAGGCCAAGACAGGAAAATCGCTTGAACCCAGGAGGCAGAGGTTGTGGTGAGCTGAGATCTCAACACTGCACTCCAGCCTGGGCGACAGAGCAAGACTGTGTCCAAAAAAAAAGTTTTCTATTTAGCAGCTGATTTTATGCACAGTTTTGAAGAGGGACAGTTTCATTCATGTACTTTTGAGCTGTCTTTCCATTTTGTGGGAGAAGTTTGTCACAGTAATGCTTTGGGGTTCACTGTTCCTAAATCTCATGATGGGTGAGAATACCGAATGGGACGTTTAATTTTTGTGTTAAAAACCCCATGCAGGCCAGGCACGATGGCTCACAGATGTAATCCCAGCACTTTGGGAGGCTGAGGCGGGTGGATCACAAGGTCAGGAGTTCGAGACCAGCCTGGCCAGCACAGCAGAACCCTGTCTCTACTAAAAAAAAAAAAAATTGAAAAAGTTAGCCTGGCATGGTGGTGTGCACCTGTAATCCCAGCTACTCGGGAGGCTGAGGTAAGAGAATTGCTTGAACCTGGAAGGTGGAGGTTGCAGTGAGCCGAGATCATGCCACTGCACTCCAGCCTGGGAGACAGAGTGAGACTCTGTCTCAAAAAAAAAAAAAGCCCATACAAATGAGTTTAAAATAGCCTGAGTTAGTTGGGCATTGTGACACGTGCCTGTAATCCCTGCTTCTCAGTAGGCTGAGAAGGGAGATGAGCCCAGTTCAGGGTTGCGGTAAACTGTAATCGTGCCATTGCACTCCACCCTGGCTGACAGAGCGAGATCCCATCTCTAAAATAAACAAAACAGAAACATTCTTCAGTAATATTACTGACTCATGATAGTACATTCTTTTTGTTTTTGGCTGGAGTACAGTGCCACAGTCTCAGCTCACTGCAACCTCAGCCTCCCGAGTAGCTGGGACTATAGGCCTGCATCACCACCACACCCTGCTAATTTTGTATTTTTAGTAGAGACGGGGTTTTGCCATGTGGGCCAGGCTAGCCTCAAACTCCTGGCCTCAAGTGAGCCATTCACCTCAGCCTACCAAAATTCTGGGATTACAAGTGTGAGCCACCATGCCTGGTCCATGATGGTACATTGTGATGAAATAGTGCATAAGGCAGAGAGATGTTTATGTAATTTCATAGGTGCTTATTGGTGGGGGGGGGGTGTCTATCTTCAGGGTCATATTAAGGATCACAGCACGTCCATTGAACCAGCAGGAGTCAGCATTCAGCTAGATGAGGAATCTCATTCAGCTAGATGAGGAATCTTGTAGGAACAAGCAGAATGATTTTTGGTGTTTCCTATGGATTTTTGTCTCTGGATAAGAAACAGTCTTGTAGCTAGCAGCAGGGTATAAGGGGTAGTATTGAGCGGTGGTTGAGGGTGCAGGCTCTAGCTGGGCTCTTGGTCCTTCGTAACTGCGTGAACTTTACAAACTTGTCCCTGTGCATCATCTCACCTGTGAAAAGGGGATGCTTGTGCCTAACTCATAGGGTTGTTGTGGGATTAATAGATAGTTTTCTAGAGTACTCCTGTCACACAGTAATGTGAGAGAAGTAATCATAGTAATGACAGTGGCATTACTAAGTTTGCAAAAGAATTATTGTGAGAGCTGATTAGGGCAAATATTAATTTAGGAAATCAAGTTACTCAGTTTTTTTGATGGCTTTGAAATGAATTACCTAAAAATGTAAAAAATAGACATTTCAAAAATTTGTTGTGCTGAACAACTCCCCAGAACACTTTTTCCAGAATTTCCGGTGTTTTCTTAGCTGGTTGAGGGACTCTGTACGAAAGCGTAGAACAGTGGTTGGTATCATCTGCCAGCCTTTGGCTGGGTGTTTTATAGTTATTTCATTGTAACTTGGAGGTGGACCTAAAGGCATGTGGAAGAACTGCTGAGCACTTTAATAACTGACTTGCCTAAAGAGAAAGAAAGGGGTCGGGCATGGTGTTTCACGCCTGTAATCCCAGCACTTTGGGAAGCCAGGCTGGTGGATCACAAGGTCAGCCGATTGAGACCATTCTGGCCAACATGGCAAAACCCTGTCTCTACTAAAAATACAAAAAAGTTAGCTGGGCATGGTGGCACGTACCTATAGTCCCAGCTACTCAGGAGGCTGAGGCAGGAGAATCACTTGAACCTGGGAGGCAGAGGTTGCAGTGAGCTGAGATCGCGCCACTGCACTTCAGCCTGGTGACAGAGCAAGACTCCGCCTCAAAAAAAAAAAAAAATAGAAAAAGAAAGCATACTTATGAGGTGTGTAGGCAACAGAGTTGGGAAAAGGTACTTATAATTGTAGAGGAATCAAAGAATTTAAAAACTATTTGAGGCTGACGTAGTGGCTCACACCTGTAATCCCAGAATTTTGGGAGGCCAAGGTGGGCAGATCATCTGAGGTCAGGAGTTTGAGATCAGCTTGGCCAACATGGTGAAAATACAAAACTTAGCCAGATGTGGTAGTGGGTGCCTGTAGTCCCAGCTGCTTGGGAGGCTGAGGTAGGAGGATCTCTGGAAGCCGGGAGGCAGAGGTTGCAGTGAGCCAAGATCATGCCACTGCACTCCAGCCTGGACAACAGAGTGAGACCCTGTCTGGGGAAAAAAAAAAGCAGCCTTTGTTGAGGAAGTCACAGGATGATTTGGCAGAGCGGTGGGGCTGCACTTACCCAGCTTCTCCTCCAAGTGCTCAGTCATCGTGGAAATAACTGCCACCAGCAGATGCTGCTGGACGTCTGCTGATCTTTGCCCTCAGCTCATGCTTCTCCAATCACCCCGTAGATGCCATTTCACCAAGAAGAGGGGAGTGGGGGTCTGGGGAGCTCCCCTCTGCCTGCCTCTTCCAGCCTTTCCTATCTCAACTCCCAAGTCCCACAGCAACTTCTCTCTCTCCATAGCCACGCTTCTTGAAAGTTGTCCACACTGAAGTCCTCTGTTTCTCAGTTCTTCAGCCCCCGCAGTGTCCCCGTCCTGTCCAGTGCCCTTTGGTGACCTCTCTGGGGCACTCGGCACAGCTCCCTGGAGTTTCCTGCCTTGGTTTCGGAGGCTGCCTCCCTGGCATCCCTTTCCTGCCCCCAGCTCTACAGTGGGCTTCAGCACTAACTCCCAAGCCTTTCCTGGCACCCACTGCCCTGGCTGGGGTCATTGCTGGGTGCAGGTGGCAGCAGTAAGGTAGCTCTCCCCAGCCCAGACTCCTTTGTACAGCTTCAGGCCAGTCACTACCTGGAGGGCCTTTTTCTGTGGATGTCCTTTAGTTTTCTCAAACTCGGTATGTACAAAGCTGAACTCTTCAATCTCTCCTTTCTTAGAAGTAAGAAATACATAGCCCAGAATCCCCCAAGTGGAAAAGGTCCTCTGTGGGCCAGTCCACCTGCGTGCCCACCCCACTGTCCTGCACCTCTATTTCCTTGCCCCGGTGCTAGATCTGAGACCTGGCTGCTGTTCCCGTATCTTTCTATTTACATGTGGAATTCTCTATGGACGATTCTTCCCCACCACCCTGTGACTATGCTGCTGCCCCTGCCTCCTGTGGGTAGGCTGATTCTGTCAAGGCTTGGCGGAGGATCTGTCTCCAGAGCGCAGCCGTTGGAGCCAGACAGGGTGCATCGCAGCTCTGCCCCTTAGGGAAGGGTGTTGCATGACGTTTCTGAGCCAGAATTCTATCACTTAAAACATCAGTGACATCTATTTAGAGATGTTGAAAGAATTAGAATCCATGAGTGAGAAGTGCCTGACACATAACGGATTCTCAAATGTTCATGAAACCTATGGTGAAATCAGAGGACATCCAGGTTCTCGCAGCACGTGAGGTTTTTTTTTTTTTAATTTAAGACGAAAGAAAGAAAAAAGAATAATAATTAAAAAAAACAAAATAATGAAGAGGAAGAGGGAGAGAGAACAGGGGTGTTGCTTTATTGCCCGGGCTAGAATGCAGTCTAAAAATGGGTATGCCTATAATTGTGCTTAATAATAGACACATGAAAAAAAAAATGAGGGAAGAAAATAACAAATAAGCAGCCAACCAATATTTCATTTAAAACTGTAAATAGATGTGATGTGGTACTGATAAGAGTGTATATTTTGTGTATTTAAAGTGGGGAGTTCTGTAAATGTTAATTAAGTTTACTTGTTCTGGATCTGAGTTCAAATCCTGGATATCGTTGTTAATTTTCTGTCTCATTGATCTGTCTAATATTGATGTTGAAGTCTCCCGCTATTATTGTGTGGGAGTCTAAGTCTCTTTATAAGTCTTATATATCTGGGTATTCCTGTATTGGGT